CCCCTCCCCCTTCCCCCTTCCCTTACACCCGCTCCATCGGTTCCTCCTCCCTCCCCCTCCCTCTCCCCCTTCCCCTCCCCCTCCCCCTCCATCCCTTCCCCTCACACCCCGTCCATCGGTCCTCCCCCTCCCCTCTTCCCCTCACACCCCTCCATCGGTCCTCTCCCCTCCCCTTCCCCCCTTCCCCCCCCCTCATCCTCCCTCCCCCCTTCCCCCCCCGCTCCATCGGTTCTCTCCCCTTTTCCTGCCATAGATTTCCTCGCGTCATACAGAATACCCATTTCCGAAAACCGAAAAAGGGAAGATAGGGAGAAGGTGAATAACTAGGCAGACAGAGAGAGATAGATAGGTAGAAAGGTAAAGAAAGTGAAGTGATAGAGAGAGATATAGATCGATAGATTGAGAGACATAGATAGATAGATAGATAGATAGATATAGGTATATAATGAATGTTGAGTAGACAGACAGACGAATGGATAACTGCGATAGATTTAGTGATAGGGAGACATGAAAAAAAAAAATAGACAGATAGAGTAAATAGATAGATACAGACGTAAATATAGACATAGATATATAGTTACAGATTGATAGATAGATAGATAGAAAGATAAATAGATAGATAGAAAGATAGATAGATATAGACAGACAGCTTGAAAAATAGATACAGATAGTAAGGTGTATACATAATCATAGACAGAAAGGTAGATATAGATAGAAATGTAGATAGATAGATAGATAGATAGGTAGAAATGCAGACAGACAGAAATGTAGATAGATAGATAGATAGAGGTAGAAATGTAGACAGACAGACAGACAGACAGACAGACGGACAGCCAGCCAGACAGACAGACAGACGGACAGCCAGACAGCCAGCCAGCAGCCACCCAGACAGACAGACGCAGAAAGACAGACAGACAGACCACAGACAGACAGACAGACGGACAGCCAGCCAGCCAGCCAGCCAGACAGACAGACAGACAGACGAGAGAGGGGAGCATGCCAAGTGAAGGAAAGGGGAGAGTTTAATCCACGAGGAACCCGACCGGCTCCCAGACCCTTCTCGGGACGGTCCTGAGGGGAAATCAAGGGGAAAATACGCGGCTGGTCTTCCTCCCTTTCTTGTTTGGGTTGTGAGGGGAGGAGGAGGAGGGGGGAGGGGGAGAGGGGAAGGGGGAGGGGAGAGAAGATGGGGAGAAAGGGGGGAGGGGAAGGGAGGGGGAGGGAGGGGTTTAGATGGGGAGAGGGGAGAGGGGAAGGGGGAGAGGAGGGGAGGAGAGGGGAAGGGAAGAAGGGAGAAGAGAGAAAGAGGAGAGATGAGGAGATAGAGGAGATGGGAAGGGAGGGAGAAGAGAGGACAAGGGGAGAAGAGGAGAGGGGAAGGGGTAAATTAGGAGAGGGAAAAAGAGAAGAAGGGAGAGGAGAGAAGAAGAGGATAGAGGATAGGGGAAAGGAGTGGAGGAGAGAGGAGAATGGAAGAAGACGGAGATAGAGGAGAGAAGAAGGGAAGGAGAAGGGTGAGGAGAGGCGGAGGAGAGAAGGGGTAGAGAGGGGAGAGAAGAAGGGGGAGAGGGGGAGGGAGGGGAGGCGTGAGAAAGGGGGTGCAGGGGATTGCGTAGGCCTATTGGAGAAGGCGGAAAGGGAAAACTAAGAGGAGGAAATAGGAGAAAAAAAGTGTGGAAGGGAGAGAGAAAGTAAGAAGAGATAGATAGATAGATAGAGAAAGATATAGATAGATAGATAGACAGATAGATAGAGAGACAGATAGATAAATAAATAGAGATAGATAGATAGATAGATAGATAGAGATAGAGATAAGAGAGAGAGAGAGAGAGAGAGAGAGAGAGAGAGAGAGAGAGAGAGAGAGAAGAGAGAGAGAGAGAGAGAGAGAGAGGAGAGAGAGAGAGAGAGAGAGAGAGAGAGAGAGAGAGAGAGAGAGAGAGAGAGAGACGAGAGAGAGAGAAAGAGAAAGAGAAAGGAGAAAGAGAGAGAGAAAGAGAAAGATAAGAGAACAGAAAAGAGAAACAGAAAGAGAGAGAGAGAGAGAGAGAGGCAGACAGACAGAGAGAAATTGACAAACAGACAGACGAGACATCCAGACACAGACAGACAGAAGAGGACAGACAGATAGGACAGAGGAAAAGGACATTGACAGTACATCCCATGACAGTCAAGGCCAGTCATGAGCCATTTCCTGACTACTAACTCACCCTTTCCCTCCATGAGAGCGAGTACTGCACTGTGGCGGGCGTGGTGTGTACGTGTGTGTGTGTGTGTGTGTGTGTGTGTGTGTGTGTGTGTGTGTGTGTGTGTGTGTGTGTGTGTGTGTGTGTGGTGTGGTGTGTGTGTGTGTGGTGTGTGTGTGTGTGTGTGTGTGTGTGTTGTGTGTGTGTGTGTGTGTGTGTGTGTGTGCGTGAGAGTGTGTGTGTGTGTAAGTGCATGTGGCGTGCGTGAGAGTGTGCGTGCGTGGTGTGTGTATGTTTGCGCGCGTGTGTGTATGTTTATGTGTGTGCGTGCGTGTGTGTGTTGTAAGCCTTTGTATATGTTTTTTTTTCTTTTTTTCTTTCTTTTCTCTTTAAGTATGTGCGTCTACAATTTGCGCCTTAATAGACGTCTTTCGGAGGAAACGTGGTCGGAGGAAGGACGAAGAGGCCAAAAAGTCCACGAAATATGTAGGCCGGGAGGTACGGGCACGTAGGCCTATCTGGTGGAATGCGAATGAAAGGGAGGAAGGAAGGAAGGGAAGGGAGGGAGAGAGGAAGGGAGGGAGGGAGGGAGGGAGGGAGGGAGGGAGGGAGGAGGGAAGAAGGAAGGGAGGGAGGGAGGGAGGGAGGGAGGAGGGAGGGAGGAAGGGAGGGAAGGAGGGGGAAGGAAGGAAGGAAGGAAGAGAGGGATGAAGAAAGAGAGGAAGAAAGGAAGAAGGAAGGAAGGGACGACAGACGAAAGGAAGGAAGGAAGGAGGAAAGTAAGAGAGAAAGGGGAGGAGGGAAGGCAAGGAAGGAAAAGAAAGAAGAAAGGAAAAAAGAAAGAAAGGAATGGAGGAATGAAAAAGGAAGAAAGAGGAATAAGTTGAATGAAAGGAGAAAATAAGAACAAGAGAAGAAGAAAGAGAAAATGGGTGCTCTTAGCGACGTAAAAAGAGCATCGAAAATCGAAGAGAGCGAAATAAAATACGTCTCGAGAGAGTATTATTGCTAACAAATTATTCGAATGTAGTTTTCATTCTCCTCCCACTTTTCCCCCTTTTCCCTCTCCTTTCTATTTCTCATTTATTGTTTGCTTCCTCTATTTTAAATCATCTTCTTTGACTCGTCTCCTCTTTCTCTCCTTCGCATTCTCCCTTATCCTTCTCATCGCTGCTTCGTGCTTTACATTTTAATCGACTTTCTCTCTATATATTTCTCTCTCCTCTCTCTCCTTGCATCCTTTTTGTATTTTCTCTCTCCCTCTTCCTCTCGTTGCTCTCTTATTTTGTCTTTTTCTTCTTTCTTGCCCTTCTTTCTCATCCTTTTTCTTGTATTCGTTCTCTTCTGCCCTTCTCCGCTCCCTTCTCTCTTATCCTCGTCTTTCATTATTCATCCTCTTCCTTTCCTTTCCTCTCTTCTCACTCCTCCTCTCTCTGCCCTGTTCTCCTTCCCTCATTATTCGCACTTCTCCCCTTTTCCTTCTCTTTCCTCTTCCTCTCTCTCCCTATTCTCCTTCCCCTCGCTCCTAATCTCATTCCCTGTCCTCCCTCCCTCTTATTCCCCTTCTCTCCTTTCCTCCTTCTTCCTCGTTCTCCCTGTCCTCTCCTGCCCTCGTTATACCCCTGTCTCTCTTTCCTCCTCCTCTCTCTCCCTATTGCCTTTTCCCTCCTCCTCTCTCTTCCCCGTCGTTCTCCCTCCCTCTTATTCCGCCTTCTCCTTTAACCTCTCCTCTCTCTCCCTTTTGACCTTCCCTCTTCCTCTTTCTCTCCGCTATTCTCTCCGCCTCTTATACCCCTTCTCTCTTTCCCTCTTCCTCTCTCTCCCTATTCTCCTTCCCCTCCTCCTCTCTCTCTGTCCCCTGCGCCTCCCCTCTTATTCTCCTTCTCCTTTCCTCCTCCTCTTCTCTCCGCTATTTCTCCTTCGCCCTCCTCCATCTCTCTCTGCCTGTTGTCTCTCCCCCTCTGTATCCGCTTTCTCCCTTTCCCTCCTCCTCTCTCTCCCTGTTCTCCCTCCCCTCTTATACCCCTTCTTCCTTCCCCTCTTCCTCTCTCTCCTGTTCTCCTCACGCGGGCCTCTTATTCCCCTTCTCCCTTTCCCCTCCTCCTCTGTCTCTCGCTGTTCTCACCTCCCCTCTTATCCCCTTCTTCTTCCCCTTGCCTTGCTATCTTGCGCCTCTGCTTCTCCTCAAGTCTGTTTTACCTTTCTTCGAGTGAACTAGCGGAAGGAGTTGACGCAAGCAAGAATGCGATGGTGACGTCAGCAAACCGACGAATTATGTTTGTTTGTGTGTTGGGCTTCTCCCTCAATGTCTGTTTTACCTTTCTTCGAGTGAACAGGGCGGAAGGAGTGACCGCAAGCAAGAATGCGATGGTGACGTCAGCAAACCGACGAATTATGTTTGTTTGTGTGTTGGGGAGATATATAGGGACGGCACATACACATGCACACACACACACACAACACACACACACACACAACACACACACACACACCACACACCACACACACAACACACACACACACACACACACACACATATATATATATATATATATACTATAATACCATGCACCATGCACGGGAAGTAAGTTGCATTTCTTTGTTAGTTAACTGGTTATTTATAGTTAGAAAGGGTCAAACCACAAAACTCAAAGAGAAAACCCGATGCCGTTAAAAGCCACACAGGGGATTCGTCGTCGGAGCCACGAAGCGCACCAGCAGTTAGTCGTTAGCGAAGCGCCCGCGGCAACGGCGCCCGGGAAGGCCACACGAGCAGGCGGCGCGAACGCAACACGCCAAACGCACACGCACACACGCCTACGTACATGAGCGTCGGGGCGCGGCGGGCACGGGCGCCGAGGACGTGGTGACGGTGTGGTGCGTGACGGCCATGGTGGTGACGGCGGCCGGGCTGGCGCTGCCTGGCCCGGCGCGGCTCTGGCTCGACCCGCGACCCGGCGCCGACTCGCGCCCCGGGGTCGAGCCGCGGCCCAAGGTCGAGCCCCGACCCAGCGTCGACTCGCGCCCCGAGCTCGAGTAGGGGCCCAGCGTCGAGTCGCGACTCAGGGTCGAGTCCCGGCCGAAGGTCGAGTCCCGCCGAAGGTCGAGTCCCGGCCGGTCGAGTCGCGTGGTCGAGTCGCGGCTGAAGGCAGAGTCGCGGCTGAGGGCGGACTCCCGGCCCTGGGAGAGGCCCTGCACCACGGGCGGCCCGGGGCGCAGGATGGTGCCGGACGGGACGGGGGCGCCGGCCACGGGCGGCGTCACCACGAAGCGCCTTCCCTCGTCGGGGGCGGCGGCGGGGGGGGCAGGGGGGGGCGCGAGGCGCGGCGGAGGGGGGGAAGCAGAGGCGGAAGCAGGGGGCGCGGAGGGGGTGGAGGGGGGGACGAGGGGGAGGGGCGGCCCCGTAGGACACGCTGCCCGCGGACGCCTTGCGCCTGAAGCAACCTGCAAGACGGAGACCAGAACGCTGCTCAAGATTCTGCTAAGGGGGGGGGGGGGGCGGGGGAGGAGAGGAAATAAACGAATCAAATTGGAGCCAAAGAAGGAAAATCTAAATGAAAGGGAAAGAATGCATAAAGTGGTACTAAACTCTCTCTCTCTTCTCTCTTCTTCTTCTTCTCTTCTCTCTCCTCTCTCTCCCCTCCCTCGCTCATTCTCTTTCTCTCCCATCTCTACTCTCTCTCATCGCTCATTCTCTCCTCTCTCTTCTCTCTCTCTCTCCCCATTCTCTCTCTCTCTCTCACTTTCTCTTAGACCCGCATCTAAAACCTCTCACGCGACCACACAGCTTGATCGCAGTACACACAATGTTCCTGTACAT